GACCGAGCCGATGATGTAGCCGGCCGTCGGGCACTGCAGCGTCAGCGTCTCATGCTCGTCGACCGAGCCGCCGATGAGGTTCGGGTCGGGCGTCGGCACCGGCGCGGGCCAGCACTTGGCCTTGACGGCCAGCGACTTGGCCGTGTTGACACACGGGTCGCTGAACGCACTACACATCACCAAGAGAATGCGTCAGAACACGAGACCAGATCCAAGAAGTCGTACCCCGTGTTGACCGGGATGCTGCACGACGCCTGGTGGAGGCACAACGACGAGACGACGTTGGTCGAGTACATCGAGTCGCACCAGCCCTTCTGGAAGAGCGACGCGTCACCCGTGGGGTTGCCGTAGGACGCAAAGAGGATCTCGCCCACGACGTCGCCCGCCGGACACGCCAGGTCGAGCGACGAGCCGTCCGCCGCAACACCGCCAATCAAGTCAGGGTCCACGCACTGCACCTGGACAGTGAGGTGCTTCTCGACACCGAGGCACGGGTCCTGGCCAAAGTACGGCGCCCTACAAGACACATTCACATGAGACCCTGCAAAAGAGTCGAGTAGCGACGTACTGGGGAGAGACGTCGATCGAGCACGCGTTCTGGCCGGTGCACGCGTCCTGAACGGCAGGACCCGACAACGGCGCGTGGCACCAGCTGACCGTGTTGACACCCGACTGCACCGCCGACGTGCCGTACGAGGCAAAGAGCACCGGTCCGACGACAAAGTTGTTGGGACACTGCAGAGAGAGCGTGTTGCCGTCCGTGGCAGTCGCGCTGATGATGGTCGGGTCCGGGTTGGGCGGCGTCACGATCACCGGCGCCGCGTCCTTGCAGTGGGCAGTGACACTCAGCGTCTTGTCCGTGTCGACGCACGGGTTACTGAAGGCAGCGCTCTCGGCCGGCACGGAGCACGACGTCTGACCAAGGCAGAGAAACTCGACGACGGGCTCCGAGTACGGCGACGTGCACCAGTCGTTGACAAAGCGGGGGAACGCGCCGCCCGAGAGACCGTACGACGCGTACAAGACGGCGTCGATGGCCTGACCCGCCGGACACGAGAGCTCCAGCGTACCATGCTCGGGCACCGACCCGCCAATGATCTGCGGGTCCGGCGGCGGCGTCGCGCACGTGGCCTGCACCGTGAGGTGCTTTTGCACGCCGTAGCAGTTGTCCGTAAACACGTTGTTGGCCGGCACGGAGCACGAGTCTTGTCCGAGGCACGCCTGCTGCACGATGGCCACCGAGCTCGGGTCGTCGCACGAGCCGGTGGCGAACGAGCCGACGTGGCCGGTGGGATTACCAAACGACGCAAAGTCGATCGACTGCACCGTCTTGCCGGCCGGACAGCTCAAGTGCAGCACTGCACCTTGCGGCACCGACGTGCCGATGATGTCGTTCGAGATGCACTCGGCGACGATCGACAGACTCTTGGTCGAGCCCGCGCAAGGACCCGCCGTAAACGTGTCGGCGGTCGCGGCCACGGTGCACGAGTTCTTGCCGAGGCAGCTCGAGCCGACGACAAGGTTGCTGTCGGCGGCGTGGCACGTCGGGTCGACGCTAAAGTCGGGGAAGATGCCGGTCGCCGTGCCGAACGAAGCAAAGTCGATGGCCGAGATGTACGTGCCAGCCGGGCACTGCAACGACGCGCTGCTGTCTTGGGCGACACTCGTGCCGATGATGTTGTTGGGCACACACTTGGCCGTCACGTCGAGCTTCTTGGTGGCGCCCGGACACGGGTCGTCGCCAAACGTCCTACCATTACGCATGAGTGGTTGTGGTCATCCAAGCAATGGTGGATGTACCCGCTGTGGACGTCGACCGAGCACGCATTCTCGCCGATGCACCGGTCACCGATGGTCGCCACGGCACCGGCCGCATCGCACGTCGGGTCGGCGGCGTAGTCGGGAAACTCGCCCGTCGGCGTGCCGTAGCTCGCAAACGGAATCGAACCAATGTACTCGCCTTGCGGACACTGGATCGTCGCCGACGCCCCATCCAGCGCCGAGCTGCCGACGAGGTCGGCGTCCACGCACTCGGCAATCACAGAGAGCCGCTTGGCAACACCTGGGCACGCGTCGGTAAAGACGCTAGGTTGGTATCGATCATGAGACCACCGCACATTACGGCAATGCGATGCAAGTACCCGCTGTTGGCGTCGAGCGTGCACGCGTTGTGGCCGACGCAGATGGCGGCAGCTTGCGTGGCGCTGTCCGGCGCGTCGCACCACGTCGAGACAAAGTTGGGGTACGTTCCGGCCGGCGTGCCGTACGAAGCGTACTCGATCGACACGATGTTTTGGTTGGCCGGACACGCCAGCGCGAGCGAAGCGCCTTCGGCCACCGAGCCGCCGATCCA